GTATCAATGCTTTTAAATAACAATAATTTTTTAAATAGATACAATACTAAGAAAGCTAATTGGCCTTTGTTTTATGATTGCTTGACGGAGTATGATGGTCAAAGTAACAGTTTGTCTTATCATCATTTTGTTCAGCAGATTAAAAATGCGGCCAACAAGTCAATTCCGGTAAATAAGAAAGAAAAGAGACTAGGTAATCCTTGGTGGGATAAAGATTGTGATATAGCCTGGGAAAGTAAACGAGCAGCATTTAAGACGTTTAAAAGACAGTTTACGGAGAAGAATTATATACTTTTTCGAAAGGCTAGAGCACAATGTCGAAAAGTTCTCAGAGAAAAACGAAAGTTAAGTTTTAATAATTATTGTAGTAGTCTATCTCCATTAACACCTATTAATGAGGTTTGGTGTAAAATAAAACGTTTTTCAAAATCAATTAATCAAATTTCGTTAAGAAAACCTTTGAATTGTTCCATTGCTGAAGATATGCTTGCCCTTTTAGCGCCCCCAATTATTCCAGATGTAGATCCTGACATTTTATTTCAAAAGTGTCAGAGTTCTAATATTTCTCTTGAGGAGACACAGGTTGCCATATTTAGAAAGCAGAGAGATTCTGCTCCAGGCATTGATCTAATAACTTATTCCATGATCAATAATCTTCCTTTGAATCATATTAAATTTTTAGTGTACTTCTTTAATCAAGTTCTTTATCATTCAGAATTAATTCCAGACGATTGGAAAACAGGATTAGTTTGTCCAATTCCTAAACCTAATAAAAATTTAAATAATATTAGCGGTTACAGGCCAATTACTCTCACATCTTGCATAGGGAAAATTATGGAAGATATAGTGAAATGTAGATTGGATTGGTATGTGGAAAACCACAAAATTCTCAGTGATTCTCAGTTTGGGTTTAGAAAAGGTAAAGGAGTTTTTGAAGCATTAACTTCTTTATGTTCATCGATAATTTCTGGACTCTCATATAATAAATTTTCAGTAATTGTTTTTTTAGATATGAAAAATGCATATGATAAAGTTAATATTTCTATTTTGATTCGTAAATTAGCTGAATTGGGTATTGAAGAGAATATTTGTAAATACATTAAAGAGATACATACCAACAGGAAAATTTATATTGTTGATAATTTTTCAAAAAAATTGATTGGTCCTGGTTTTACTAATAAGGGTTTAGCACAAGGATCTCCTTTAGCTCCAATTTTATTTAATATTTATATTAATAATGTTAGTGACTTTATTGGGGATGATGTTAAATTAATTCAATATGCTGATGATATTGCTCTCCTGGCTCAAGGTTATGATATAGATTTGATAGTTAATAAATTAAATGTTACATTGGACAGTCTTGAGGAATGGGCGAGATTAAATGAAATGAGTTTTTCTCCTGAAAAATCTTCCTGTATTTTAATTCAAAGAAAATTTTATAATCGTATTTTACCAGATATTAAATTTCAAAATCATGTTATTAGATGGGTTGAATATGTTAAATATTTGGGTATTTTTATTGATAATCGGTTTTCTTGGAATCATCAAATTGAGGCTATGTGTTCTAAAGCTACTAAGGGTATTAATTTAATGAGATATTTTTGTAAAACCTGGTGGGGGGGACATCCAATTACTATGTTAAATTTTTTTAAGTCCTATATTCGGTCACATTTAGATTATGGTAGTATATTATTAGCTAAATGTTCTAAAAAGTTATTAGAAAAACTTGATAAAGTTCATTTTCAAGCCTTACGCATTTGTTTAGGGTTTATGCGTTCCTGTCCAACTAATATCATTTTATCAGAATCGGCAGAACTTCCCCTTAATATTAGACGTAATTTTTTGGCCACTAAATTGCTTTTAAAAGCATTCTCTATTCAGGATAATCCCATTATTCAGTCTGTTACAGAAGCTTATGGGGCATATAATCAATCATTTGGTTTTTGGTCAAGATATTATCATGTTCCTCCTCTTATTGAAGGCATTGATCAAATTTTTCCTCATGTTCAAGATGTTGATGTTGTTAATATGCATCATTATTATAAGTTTCCTCTTTATTTTAGTAAAAATGAATATTTAAGATTGGATTTAAATAAGAGTGAAAATAATTCTATTAAATTTAGAGAAGTTATTGAGTTAAAATTTAAACAAAAAATTAAGTTTTTTACGGACGCTTCTAAGGAAGTAAATAAAAATGTTGGAGTGGGTATATTTTGCCCGGATTTAAATTTGGAAGCCACCTATATGATTCCTGGATATGCTTCCATATTTGTTGGAGAAATGTTTGCTATTATGATGGCATTGAATGTAATTGAAAGCAAAGAATTGGAGGATTCTGTAATTTTTAGTGATAGTGAAAGTGCTTTACGAGCATTAGCAGCTTATCCTAATTTTAAGGACAGTCAAATTACATTTGCTACAAAACGTAAACTATTTGAGTTAAGAGAAAAACAATTTCGAATTTCATTGGTATGGCTACCCAGTCACACGAATATTTTAGGCAACGATAAAGCTGATCAATTAGCAAATATTGGAAAGACAGATGGTCGAGATGCTGAGATTAAATGTTGGTTTACTGATTTTATTCCAATTCTTAAGGAAAAGTTTTGGTCGTTATGGAAAGGCAGATGGAAGGAGATTTCTTGTACAAAAGGGACAAATTATGCAGAAATTGTTACTTTTCCCTACAAAAGCATATGGTTTAGATCATGTAAAGATTTTACAAAGAAAAGATTGACAACCTTCTTCAGATTAAGAAGCGGATATTGTCTAATTCCGTCCCATTTACATCGTATAGGTGTAAATGCAGATTCCTTATGTGAGTGAGGAGAAATTGGAACGTTAAACCACATCTTTTTTGAATGCAATAAATTTCCCGCTTTAGTAGATAAACTATATAAATCACTTATTGGCTTTTACAAAACATCCCCTCATAATTTTACCTCCGCTTTGCATACTCATCCAATTGTAGTTAATATTATAGGCGAATTCTTAGATAGTTGTGGAATTAATCTTTCACATTTTAAATGAAATTGTTATTAAATTTGTTTATTTTGCAGGATCTTCCTTTGCCAACATTTTCTTCAACTCAACAGTCGGGGTATGGGATTTCCCAGGCTCGCTTTATAGCGATCCTCGTCTGTGTGTCATCATCTATATAAACGCTCAACCGTAGGTAGTTAATTCTACCATCCGGCCGGATAGCCCTGGCAGCTGTGGCCATTAAACTAATATACTACTACTAACCTAACTAAATCTCGTCGTCCGACAAGCCTCCGACCGAGACATTTCGACAACATTTTTGATTATTGTATTGTTAAAATGTACGGATTAGCCTTTTATTATTGTTTCATACACACTAGACCGTTCAGATTTACTAATATTGCGTTGATTATAGCTGTAAATAAAAATAATGAAAATGAAAATAAACAATTAATATGCATATGTCAATCATAAGAAAAGAATCTATTAATTTAATGAACTATACCCATACTACTCGGCAAACAGCAAACCAAACCAAAGAAACTAAGACTTACAGTGTTTTTAATTACAGTGTTTTTAAATTACATTTTAATTTTATCATTTAATAAATAAATACAATATAAAATTTAAAATGCCAATTTTTTATTTTAAAACAAGTGATTTATATATGTATAAACAATTTACAATTATTTATCATTTAATTTATTAGCCACAGCTTCCGGGATTATAGGCTAATATTTTGCTGCCTATAGTGCCTATATCTCAAAAAAGAATAATTAAGATTAATTAATGATTAAGTATCCCTGTATTTTTAAATGTTGAATCTTATGGACTGAAAAAACTGCTGATGATATTTCTACTTTCACTGACCGAAGATGCAGAAACCTAGAAGAAATTCAAAAACAAATTGTACAAACATTTTAAGGTTTTCCTTAAATCCTCTATACAATAGACTATTTCTTGGATATAGTTTTGTTCATTTAATTTGTTTCTTAGAGGTTATACACAGCTGTAGATATTCTATAAGTAAAAAAGTAATAATACAGATTCGTAAAAATATCCCACCTTACCGTTTCTAGTACTTCAATTTAGTGTGTTTATATTTTATACATGTATAAAATTGAACATCATCCACCAGAAGTATCAACAATTATGAGTTGAATATTACAAAATATGACCATATTAAGCAAAATTTAAAGGCCTACAATTAACCTTGTTGATAAACACAATACTTCTTCCATGTATAGTAATGAACACACATAACTGGTTTACAGCTACAGTTTTACTAAATCTGAAGGGTCTAGTGTGTATTAGACAATTACAAAAGGATAATCCATACATTTTAACAGTAGAATAATCTGATTTTTGTTAACGAGTTATCGAAATGCCTGGAACTGGGACGGGCGATTGTTAGGTTAGAGCCTTTTTGATTTTTCTCTTCTTTACTTTTAAAGACGCATTTAGTATTAATTACGATTTACTGGATTTACCTAATATAGATTTTTTATTAATTAAAACTGGTATAGTTCAAATTATCAGAAAAAAATATTTTTTGGATATAGATTTCTGTATCCGGAAACTTACTATTGTCTTCTAGATTTTCTACATTTAGTATTCATTTTATTAAAATTTAATTTTTTTGAAGATCTTTAAAGTGAAAAGAAGAAGAATTTTAATTAACTAAAAAAATCAAAATAAAGTTAATTAACTTTGAGCAGAGTTCGACCTCGTCAAAAATAGCATCGATAGTCATTCCCCAGCCGCCTTTGACGCCGTTTTTTCTCGATCATACGGTACTAAAATACACAGCATATCAACTTATGTCAATAGATATCCAACGCCAGCTCTTTTACGACCTTTTTATCTGTTGCGTCACTATCAATTAGAACCATTTTGAAATTTGGTCAGGTTATAAGTGACACGGCTAAATCACCATAGTCCGCCTGTGAAACTTTCATTTCTTTATAATTACATTTTTTAAGAATTTGTTAATTATTATATATGTATACATTTTTTAGCATCATGTGGGAGATTACAGAATTAGCTTTTGCTCATCTCCTTCCGAATTTTATAGAATGTTGGTGGGATGCAATGATTTTGGACGTTCTGGTCTGTAATGGCTTAGGAATTTGGTGCGGATTAAAACTTTGCCAAATTTTAGAGATGCGAGAATACAAATGGGAGAGCTTTAAAGATATACATTCAACTACGGGTATGAAAGAGTGACAGTTAAAGCACGGCACAAAAGCTTGTCATGTCAAACGATACATTTCCGTAACGACTTTGGTCGTGCTTTAACTGTCTAATACCCCCCCCCCCCCTGTAACTTTGTTATGGATAAAGCAAGATTAAATTTTTACCCTTTTTTGCTTGCTTTACTTTTAATTTTATTGTTGGCTATATTGCCAATATACCTATTGTAATCGCAAAACATTTTTCGTTGCACGTCATCAATCCTATCGACAATATCGACACTAGAGTCTATAAACCTGACAAAATGAAATTTTGGAAAAAATGTTTAAATTTGTTGTATAATTTAAGATATCAAGCAGCTCTTCATTTGACTTTATAAAGCAAATTATTGTAACAGGTATTTTATTTAGATTAAAGCTGTAAAAATTAGTTGAAACCGAATTTTATTATCGCTATGTTGGTCACATTGCGCCGTTTTCAGCAAGGTTGTCGTTTATTATTTGACAATTATCCTAATGTCAGTCATTATTTTGTATAATATCGTTTGTTGAATCTTTGTGAGCAATTCTCGTTCTATTGCCTATTTTCATAGTCCTTTTTTACAAATGTACTGTAAAAGCACAAACAGTTCTTTTAAGAACTAAATTTTCGAGTTTTTGTATTGCATTTCTTAAAATTGTGTGTTGAAAATATGCCGAAGCATTTAAACTGTCGAAGCAAAGAGCTGGTAGCTTTCCTGATAAACTATTTTAAACGAGAACGTGACAAGTCCTTTATTAGCCTTGACTGCAGTCAGAGAAGTAAGTTTGATTGGTAAGCATATTATACCACTTTCAAAGTTATTTCTACGTTAGTTTTTATTAAATTCTGTGATTATTAATTTGTGCATTAATAGCATCCTCTTACTTTTTTTACCACTTATGGCGTTGTAAGATGTACATCAATAACTTAATAAATAACCCATAATACGCTAAGAATAATCTTCATAATGGACTAGTTTTTGCCAATATGTAATAAGTAAAATAAGCTATAAAACAAATAAATCAATTAATTACTAAAATATTAGTTGTTAAATTTTAAAAATAAAACGTAAAAATCTTTAAAAAATTATACAGTGGTGGCCAAAAGTATGGAAACTTTTTTAATTTGTCATTTATGCTGAGAAATTAAAATATGAAATAAAACGACTTATATAATCGTCACCTACAAATAATTTCCTACAAAACCTAATACATTTAAATAAAAAATTACAGCTATCACAAAATATATAAAAAATTATTAATATTTTTTTGGTCAAAAGTATGGAAACTTAAGAAGAATGTTACTTACTTATCTACATCTTCGTGGCATCGAATCGATTAATCTCGTACAATCTTTACTGGAAATGGCCGCCCATTCAGTTTTTAGCACTTCCCATAATTCATTTTTATTTGAAATAGAATGGCTTCGAATTTTGCTATCCAAATGGTCCCATAAATTTTCTATGGGGTTAAGATCCGGAGACTGTGAGGGCCAATTCATTAGTGGAACATTATGTTCATTTAACCAATTTTGAACAAACCGAGATTTGTGCTTGGGATCATTGTCTTGCTGGGACAACCATCTGAGTGGCATTTCTTCATCAGCATGAGGCAGCATATTATTCTCCAATATGTCTTTGTACAAAAAACGGTCCATTATCCCATCAATTTTAACAAGAGGACCAACACCTGAGCGAGAAAAATACCCCCATACCATTATACTCCCACCCCCATGTTTTACTGTGGGCATTTGGTATTTTCTGTGATATTTTAAAAAGTAAAAAAGTTTCCATACTTTTGGCCACCACTGTATATTGTTTGTCACTTTTAAATTAAGATTGATCTCATAAATCCATCACAATCTGGCAGCGCTGTCGCCATCGCTTGTCACATAAAGTTGATGAAGAAATTCTGATGCATGTGATCAGAAATTGTTTTGCGATTACTATAGTAATTATACCTAAAAGTTTATGAATTATCGCTTGTCAAATTTCTTTAATTTCAATAGTGACCACTGACCGATTATCAAAGTTCGGTACTTCTAGAAGTTTCACAAACTTCTAATTTTAAATTTTAGGTAGCTTTAAGCTTATAATGAAAGGAAAAGTGAAAAATCTCGAAATATCCTTATGCATTAAAATTAGGTGTCTGTCACTACCAGTAACTGACTTTCTATTCAACAAAAAGTTAGAAAACTAGAATTAATCGATTTGATATTGTCTTATTTTATGAAGTAACGTCAATATTTGGGTGAAAATTGGTGTCTGGGTGTTTTTTGACATGAAATTTGATTTTGATGTCAATATGACTCATACTTGTAGAGATCACCACCTACATATTTTTTAACTGGTTTGAAGAGTAATAACTTTTCGTCCGTACCTGTATAAAACTAATTAGTAAAAAATATACATTTAAAACATTTTTTACGTAAAAAATATCTCTTGATAATAATCGCTACGAGTAATGGTTCCCGAGATATTTGAAATCGAAATTATCAATACCTGTCATCATTGACATACATTAAACATGTTGACTAAATGGATATTAGACTGAAATCATAAATTTGAAATGTTTTTGTGGCTAAAGTTCAACAGAAAGTGTTTCATCATCATTTTTTCGAAGAAAAATTTATGATTAATTTAAAAAAATAATAAGTTACCAAATTTATAATTTCGGTCAATAAGACCCTGTATATTTTTTTTTATTTTACTGGGCTTTTAATTTGAGAATATTTATATTTTTTGGAATATAATGCCCGCGTTACTCGAAAAATTACTGTATCTTGTAGTAGGTTTGTATTAATATTACATTATCTAATAGGTTATCTCAGTAATCAAATGCAAATTTATTAAGTCTATTTAAGTTAACAATTCAGTTTTTTAATTTCTATATAAGCTGTTTTTATACCATTAACAATTGTTAAACTGTAAATATATTTTAGGAAAAATCAAACGGGCGGTTTTACAATTTACTCCGGAAAGTTGGACATCCGTAAGATGGTTGGATCCAAAGTGTTCTTATATGCGAATATTTGCACTCTGTGAATTAGTTTTATTCTGGCAAGTATCAGAATTGAACACATTTTTTTTGAAGCACGTTTTTGAAATGCCAGCCTCACACCCTCTTGTTAGCGCGAGATTAATACTGATAGGCGTAATAGTAGCGCCATCTGTACGACAATATTATTGGTAAGTAAATTATAGAGGGTGATTCTCTAACTTGGATAAATTTAGTAAATCAAAGATATTTTTTTTAAATGCTTGGGCACATCTGTTAAGCCTCGGGCCTATAAAGCGGTACCACTAAAGCTACACCGCTGAAAAAGCGTGTATATACCAGTGGCGGCTCGTGACTCGTGTGACTGGGTAGGCGACAAAATTTTAGTTGCGTCTATTTACCCCCCCCCCCCTTCTAAATTTACATAATACTCTAACCCAGTTCGTAAATATATGTTATCTCTGGGTTAAGAACATAGCTCAAGAATATTTAGGACAAAACTAAAGCAAAAATGACGGCATTCAACGTAAGGACATAATGATTGACACAATGTACAAGTATATGTTTTTTTTATCTATTACTATGGAGTACATCATAGAATTTTATTTTATTTTTATTTATTTACGAAAACTTAAAAAAATGGTAGTATTGATTTGGTATTGATAAAAAGAATAATTATGTTTGAATTGATGAGTCGGTCTCTTGATAAAGAAAAGTTATTTAATATTATATCGGTAGAATCATCAGATTGTTGAAGAGCTGTGAAAACATCTTTTTAGATTGAAAGTAAGGCAAGTGGCGATAAACGTTTATTTTTCATAGAATCTCTACTATAAATTTTAATGCATTTCAAACATGAAAAATGTCTCTCAGTCTAAGTACTTGTAAATGGTGTAGTAACAATCAAAACCAACAGTTTGAAAGCCTCTGGAAATATATTTCCGGATGATTCTCCTTAAATTAGTTTATAATCGAAATTATCATATCTATTATTAATACCTGCAATTTATTCATTAATTTTTGTTGGTCAATAACATTGTATGTTTGTTAAATCAATATTAAATGCGTTGGAAATGTATCAAAATAACAAGTTTGTTAAATCAGATTTAAATGCGTTGGAAATTTTTTATTGGATTATTTAAATTTCGGATTTATTATGATAAATAAAAATAATTGAGACATACGAGTCTGCAAACCTTATTTCTGAATGTATAACAATGTCTAATCTAATATTTCATAAAATAAAATTCGCAAAGAAGATATTTGACTTAGCCGCGTCTATTAACATATCGAATTGAAATAGCACACTGAGACTTTTCTGTAATATCTGTTGTAACGTCTTCTTGCACCAAATAAAATAACGCGCTCTTTTATTTTCGATTCTTTTATTTTTGTGGCGTGTTCTGAAATAGAACCGGTTATATCATTTTGAATAACGTTTCCAATTTGTATTAAACGTTTTTTGAATTTTCATATAAAAGTTTTAAATGTTATGTATAATGTGTGAATCATATGAAATATCCCCTTAATGAAATGTGATATATCCCCTTATGAAATATCGGGAATATCCCCTTAACTTCTAAGCTTACCAAGCCTCCACGACTTCAGGCGAAGGCGACCGGAGATTTCGCCTAAGCCCCGCTTTAATACGATACAACTCCGACTTATGTCGCGTCGCTACCGCACGATGAGTTAGACAGAGACAGAAGACTGCCGTACGTCGTGTATCGACTCTGATAGTAGGCGATGTAGAAATCGCCGAACAAAGGCGTTTGCAGTACTCCAACGGTCAAAATTATTTTGTTTTTTTAACGCAACGGCACAGGCAGCGTACACCATATTTTAATATACAAGACCACAAATATTAAAATAATATTGATTATTACAACATACTTCCGTGTATGAACAGTATTATTATTATTTGTAATGTATTGGCAACATTAATAATAAATAATGTAATGTAATAAACCGCTTAAATTCTGCCAACATTTTAGCAATCATATACTTGCAAATCGGTGTGTGTTCCTTCAAAGCGTTCGGCTCGAATAAAACGGCGAAGCCGCCAGAAGCGGCCGCTCTGTACGGTGGGATATTGCAAGCAGTTTTTTGACAGTGTCCAGTGCGGTGATGTAGCGTTTTATATTTGAATTGAACTGACTCAAAGCGAAAAGCGGCAGTGTTTTAACGCCACCGTATTTTTTATGATGTATATTTTTATTACAAATCGGCCGAACTATTCGTAGGCAAAAACGGCTGCTATAGTACGGGCAGTATGTGATGATATTTTACATAGCATTGCCCAATGTTTTTATGCATATTCTTAAAAAATATACAGGTTGTTCTTTAATGACATGCTAATATTTAAGGAGGTGATTATTGGACCTATTCTAAGGAAAAAACTTGATATGAATATAATATGTCCTAAACCTCTTAAATTTTCAAATACAGGGTGGTAAAATTTCCTAATTTTTTTTCAAAATATCTCTGATGTTATATTTGATACGCGTTTTCCATGTATCAATTATTAAAAAGCTAATTTTGATATACAAAAAAATTGTTTTATTTCTTAATTTTCTTCCTGCCGATGCAGAAATGATTTCCACACACCGCATCAGATTTTCAACAATTTGACCCTGAAATAAACTGACTTTAATTTGTTTAAGCAAAAACTATACGTCGGACGAAAAAAATCAAGAGATAAAACAATGTTTAGAAATAAATTGAGATTTCGAAAATAATTTTTATTTTAAGAGAAGCCAGTGGTGTACCACTTTTTTCTCCAAAAATATTCAATGTAAAACCCCTATGGGCGTCACTGGTTGAAATAAATAAAATTCTTTGTACACCAAAAAAGTTATTTTGATGCATAGAACACGTGCATCAAGTTTCATAAAGATATCTATAATAAAATGAGACTAATTTCATAATTATACAAGTTTTTTTTAGAAAATTTTACCATCATGTATCTCAGAAATTAAGATGTCTAGGACATACATTCATATGAATTTTTTCTCTTAGAATAGCTTCAAAAGTCATCCCCTTAAATATTAGCATGTCATTAAGGAACACCCTGTATATAGTTTACTTTGCGGTTTACTACATTTTTATTTCTATAAAAATTGAGGCAAATATGTAAAAACAACAACGTGGCCTGTATTTGTAAAAAATCTACATACATTTGAAATACAATTAAAATGAATAAATGTCTAAGATATCTACTTGAACTTGATAAAAACGAAACCCGCTCAATTAATAACTCAGGAACGTACTTAAAATGTTCTAAACAATATTGTAACGTTTTTAGTTCGTTACATGTATTTTTTATATATGATTATATGATGTCTGGCGTATCATCACCTGATACCGTATCGTTCAGGCCTGATAATTTATTTGGCACGCTTGGCGTAATTTTTACGTTCCCTAGTCGCCAACCCTGTTATCGTTTGACACAAACCTGTTATCGTTCTGAGGAGGCGCTGTCAACATCGCTTCTGTCAACTCTCTCCGTGCTTAACCTTACTTTGTTTTGCCGCTCTGTTGTATCCCGGCTTTTAGAAATGGTGATTATTTAAATCTTGCTGTATAATTTGAATCATCTGCTATTTCAAAGCAACAGGTAAAGATGAGATATCCTTTTAGATTCGATATTATTACTGCATATTTTTAGGGTAGAGTTTTGGATGTCCCAACTTAACTTGTATTTGTATTGCTGGCACGTTGGCGTCCCTTTTCTTTTGTCCTCCAGAATGTTACATGGAAGAAAGGACAGTTTCTTTGTTTATTATTGAGCCCTCGGAAGTAATTCGAGGTAGGTTTATTTTGTTTATTAGACCTTGTTTGGTTTTAAACAAGAGTTTCATATTTTTAGGGTCCAAGGTACGGACTATTTACAAGGTACGGGCATTATCCAAGGTCCTAGTCGTATCCAAGGTACGGGTAGTGTTCCCCTGTACCGTTGTCTTATGGATGTACATTATCTTATGGACGGACTGTGTCCAAGGTACGGGTAGTGTTCCCCTGTACGGTTTTCTTATGGACGTACATTATCTTATGAATGGACTATTTACAAGGTACGGGTATTATCCAAGGTCCTAGTAGTATCCAAGGTACGGGTAGTGTTCCCCTGTACCGTTATCTTATGGCCGGACTGTGTCCAAGGTTATGGTCCAAGTTACGGACATTATCCAAGGTCCTAGTAGTGTTCCAAGGTACGGGTAGTGTCCCCATATTGCCACAGTATGGATACAGCGTAAGCCCCATGCTGCTTCGCTCCTATTTCTAAGCATAGTCAGTAGCTACGGCTGTATTGATTTATGGTGTCCTCATTCTGGCTCCTTTTGTTGTTTTGGCCAACAGGATCGCCGACAGACAGTACAGAGATGCGAGACCACCTCACGCTGTTACTGTTTGAGGCAAGATTACATAAAGAACAGCTAAGTGTAGATTTAAGTTCTAGTTTTACATTTAATATTTAAAACATTTTCAGTCTTAAACAGTAACGTACATCTTAAGTAATATCGTACAGACTATGTTTAGTGGTTAGATTGTTAAGAACATTCATGTCGATTTAATATTTAAAATATGATTTAGATCTTAGGTTTCATTACATTACGTCTTGTAATGGTATTACATTCATAGATATTTAGTACAACTCTTAACACCATTTTTTTACATATAACTACTATATATTTATTAGAACTCTACAATGTCATGTACCAGCAAAGAACATCATGAATAAATATAGTCATTAGTTTTAAGTAATATACAACTGTGTTTTCTTTCTCTGTACATGCCTGGCGCCCAATATCTATTTTTTTTTGTTTATTGTTATTAATTAGTTTTCTTTCCAGTGAAATACCTTATGCACGACTGCTCTCCGATGAAAAGCTGCCTTTCGCAGTTGTAATGTTTATAAAAAAAAACGCTACAATATGAACTCATCTCAGACACACCCTAAAACGCATATTTGACAAATGTAACGTTGAACGATCGCTGAACAGTCTACTAATCGCGGTGTTGCAGTTTGATTTGCTGAATTTATTCCAAGTTAGATAGTCACCATGTTTTGTGTGTGGATTATAATTAAGATTTTTTTAGTTATGTGACAGATACAACCTGCAAAAGAGTAGGTACCCAATGTTGGGTTTATGGTTGCATCATGGTTACTGAGTCTTTAATTTGTATAAAACATGGACAGGAGCTGTTTCAACAAACTCATCCATTTAATATTTTTATCTGGCTGGCTATTCAGTTCCTTATTTCAGCTGGATCTGTTATTGGATATGCAATTTATTACAAGTATAACCCGCCGCAAAACTACTTTATTGAAAAACCTAAAAAGGGTGCCAAGAAAATTTTAACCAAAGTGGACTAATTTTTAACTAGCGATGCGCAAATGTTGAATATTTTCAAAGCGTTGAATATTTTCTCAGGTTTTTGGTTTTTATAAAACTGATATCTAAACTGTTTGAAATCATTTACATGGTTATTAATATAAGGTATAAATCTAGTTCAACTTTTGGCTGTGGCGTAATCCAAATAAAGTATATATCTCACTTATGTACCATACCAAGAGAGCTACGTTATAGATTGATATATAAAGTTTTTGAATATTTTGTTTCACTTTGAGACTTTTTTTTATTGTCCATAAAATTTTTCTTTATTAGAGTTTGAATAAAAAATTTGCAGCTATATTTATAATCATCCTTGAATCTTTTTGTTCGGAACTGCTTAAATTATTAAGTTTAAGATTATTCCTTGAACTTAATGTATCTAATTCACCTCATGTTCTGTAATAAATGGCTGTATACTTACCATATTTTGATACAAATGTACTATATAATTGTTTTTTTTTATTAAAAACAATTGCACAAAGAGACGTACTTAGATATTGAACATTAAACTGTATATATATATGTACACACAAAAAATAATAGCTTTGTGATATAATATAGAATATTAGATTACTCCAGATCATATAAATTAACGTGTATATTGCTATATCATGTTTTGTGATATAACTGGACTAAATAATGTCTTTTGCAACTGAATGAATATAGCAATAATATATCATTTCACACGTGTTTTCCTACAATATTTGCTTTATTATATTTTTATTAAAATCCGAATTTTAGGGCTCGAACATAGGAAACAATGTTACAATTAATATTTTTTTTAAATTATTAGAATATGTGTCACCATACATATAAAAGTTCTTCAGTATCGAACACGTTTTATATTATTGCATTTTTAGTTCATAAAATTAAAATAAAAGTGAATTTACTACGGCCCCCATTATTTTGAATCTTAAATTTTACTATTTCTTCATTAAAACGGTTTAATTAATGAAATTAATTGTTGGAATAGAAAGTATTGCTAAAGAGCCCCTAAATGCCCCTAACTGTGTTTTGAATTATACGACGCTATTTATTTGACACACTTTGGCTTGGTACAAAATTTTAGTTCCTAAATATAACGCAAAATATTCAACAAAATAAATTTAATTTCAAACTTAAAACTTACGGAAAACAAATATTTATTGCTTAGTATGCAAATATATACAAGATAGGTTCCTAAATATGTTTTTTTGAGATAGGTGGGGCATACATATTTCTAATACAGTTTTGCTTACTACAATTTGTAGAATCTAAAAATGTAATAGTGTGTATTCATATTAAAAATAGAAATTTATTACCTTTGTATATTAAGGATCGCTTGTATATTATATTTGATTCAAAAACTAATTAGTTTAGGTATAAAACGTTAATAACATAGATACCACTGTATAGTCCCATGGTACAAAGAATACAAGGTATGATATTGCGCAGGTTGGTCGCTACGTCACAGGTGATAACAGGCGCTATTGGTCAGCACGCTCCGCGCGCCAGTTCAAATCGTCAAGATATTGTTATAAACCTGTTTTTTTGTTTATATACCGTCATTGAATTATCGCTAAGCAAGTTACTGTGACAGATTGGCCCTAGCCCTCTTAATTTCCGAAATACAGGGTGAAATTGAGAATTTGGCATTGTTTGACCACCTTCTTATCTCGAGTTCCATAGAGTTTTTTTACGTAGAATTCAGAAAACTTATGTTTTTTTAATGGGATACACGGTGTATTATATTTTTGTTTTATTTGCCGTGTTCTGAGCTCTCTATAAATACTCAATACTTATTTTCATAAACAAGGTAAAAAAATGCATTATTTAGAATTAAATCTTGGATAATATTAAATACTAATATTAATAGTTTACAACTAAATGCCTCTTTTTCGGGATATTTAGAACCTTTCTTTTGCTTCATAAAGCAATTATCGTCTATGCCATTTATCACCTTCCATTAATCAGTATAAAACTATATCAGTGAAATTTAATACTCTAGTCATAGAACCAAATAAGATTATAGTACTAAATGTAATTTAATTACAACACCCAATGGATATACGGTTATCAGCAATAGATAAAATTGCAATAAACAGTTTTAATTAATATTTTAAGCCTTGCTCGCGGGAGGACGGACGATTTCGACAGATGTCATCCAAAAATTGACAAAAAATAATTTTCAATTAAATGGTTGACAACTGTCTGTAATATTGTTACTCGTTGGAAGACTAAATCCATATTGACATATATAGTGCAGATAGCTTTTATATATGAATCGTGATTTGTTAAATGGCATCTGTCAGGGAACATAAGTTTTGAGAAAAGTCACTTGGCATCAGTCACTGACTAATGCCTTTATGTGAAACTCCGAATATTTTGCGCGCTGTACCATTGTGAATGTCAGGACAGAGGCCCTTGTAATAAGAAAGTGTAGTATGATATTAATGTACAGGGTGGTCGAAATTGGTCTGTTTTAACAGAGAAAACATATTTCCTGACTAGATGGAGCAAAACCGACGTAGATGTCATGGGCTCGATTTCTGAGACACGTTTAATGTCATAAACCGCTTGTTGATATTTTCACTGCCAACTGCGATACGGGGTCTTTTTGAATTTTTTACCATTTTGAAAATTGCCCATAATTTTTTTATTTTGCGGAATAATAAAATTCTGTAAAGATGTTCTTAAGGCACTTTTTTAGGCACAATCCAGTGGCGTAGTCAGTTTTTTCTATACTTGCTCTTTTTGTCAGAAATAATAAAAAATATAATTATTTAAATGAAAATCATAGTAGGCTATAAACTTAAAAAATGCTGATGTTTAACCCTTTCCAACGATATAAGTTATGAGTATTTATTTCGAAGAATGAAAGAAATATTAGAGTTTTTTATCTTTGTATCGAAGCGGGCCTTGATTTTGTGTTGACCTAGTTGCCTAATTATTTTCTATCGCAATTTAATATTCTATATTATTATTTATCTGCAAAATTAAATACTTTTGAAAAGATAACTCGACATTCTGTATTAGTTTTACCAATTACAAAATTAAAACGCCATTATATGGAGCATTTACAGAGAATCGGATTGGAACAAGGGGCCCCATATCTTGGCCTGCTAGGTCCTGTGATTTAACTTCTTTCGACTTTTTTATGGGGGAAATTAAAAGACCTTATATATAAGGGAAGAACCATTGGGACGAGAGAAGAATTGCAGGCTACTATTGTACTTATTACACCAGTTCGCCTAATAAATCGCTGTAACTCTGTGCGCAAAAGATGTTTATTATGTATTCAATAAGGAGTTGTCTGTTTGAACATCTTAGATGATTTTTTTTAGAAAACTATATTCGTCCCTCAAAAAATACGTTTTTTATCTTTGTTGGTTTATTGTATCGATTTCAATTGTAATCTAAAACTAATATAGAATGTTAATTTACCTTTTCAAAAGTCTTTAATTATGCAGATAAATATTAATATAGAATATTAAATTTCGATAAAAAATAATTAGACAACTAGGTCAACACAAAATCCAGGCACACTTCGATACAAAGATAAAAAAACCTAATATTTCTCTCATTCTTAGAAATAGGTACCCATAACTTTATATCGTTCGAAATGGTTACACGCCAGCATTTTTTTAAGTTCATAGCCAACTATCATTTCCATTTAAAAAATTATATTTTTTATTATTTCTGACAAACAGAGCAAGTATAGAGAAAAACTCACTACGCCACTGGATTGCGCTTAAAAAAGTGCCTTAAGAACGTCTTTACAGAATTTTATTATTCTGCAAAATTAAAAAGTTATGGGCAATTTTCAAAATGGCAAAACATTCAAAAATACCCTGTATCTCAGTTGGCAGTTGGCATACCCTGTACCTCAGTGTCCGTAGGTTTTTAAACTCACGATATAAACGTTTAAGTTATTTATTACACGACTATAACTACAATAAACTATTTATTTATATAATAACAATCACTCTCAACTTTCGTTTTTTACCACTTTTGTCCGATTCTTGGATCTTTTCCACTATTTATGAATAATTCAAAAATTGACTTGTTCTTTCGCGCTGTTCGCTGTTTATATACTCGCAGGTATTGCTTCATTTCTTGAGAACATTCGCCGCCTCATCTCTGGATCGATCTCGAAACCATTTTAAAATACTACTATCACGTATACTCTCATTTACAGTTCATCTGCTGGATCTGTGTCTACGAAAGGAATGCGGACAAAAAACATTTAAATAAACAGCAATATATTTTATACGTCGACTTGACGAGTACGTCAAATCGCTCCGCCCACTCATTTTATTGGCTACTTGCTAATTTGTCGAATTTTTATTGATGGGACGCGTCGTCTAATTTTTTACGAAAAACACCGAGAGAATATCGTTTCCCCTCTCACGGATACCCCGAAGCTACAGAACGGACAGACGTACTGTATTAACTTATACACAAGAATGTTTTTAGTAAACCAATTTGTTATGTGCCATAATATATTAAACTCGAATATATCCTATCTATTACGAACTTTGAGCGGTCTCGAAACCACAATTTATTTTATTAGGATTATTTAATTTCGTTGCCATGTGCCATAGAGATTATATTGTGTTAACAATATAAACTATTAAAATATAGGAAGTGTATGGTTATGCATTTTTCACGTTAATTTATATGATCTGAGTAAATTAATCATTTTTAATTGCAATATCAATATCACCATTATTATAAGTTAAACATGTTCGGGAGTTTGATTGCTCAGTTATCATTTAGTAGCAATAGAAAATATTTAATTTAGATTATATTAATATTTTTTAGTGAAATAAACTATTATTTTTTAGTTGGGGCTATGTACAGATCTAAAAGTATAGTTTTAGAATATTGTAGTGATCATTTCGTCGGTTAAAACAAAGAAGTATACTTTCTGTTATATGTAATACAGGTATTGTAACTTTTTTATTAGACAGATAATAATTATTTCTGTTTAAACTGAATCACAATGTATGTGATAACTTAATATTGAGTATAAACTATCAGTAATTAATTTGGAGAAGTTGGTTTTTCTGAATTCATCAACACAAATACCGCAAACTGATATATTTTATGTTGAATAAACAATATTATGATCTAATATCAAATCCAGTGATGCAAAATGGTTATAAATTTGTACATTAAAACTGTTTTTATTGCCTCTTGTTTTTTTTCCGCATCTTACTCCTTTGGACTTGAATTAATTGGAACAAGTTACAGCACCTAATTTGTATTTAATTGAAAGTTGTCATTATTTAAACCTTGTGGATTTTTTTTGGTTGACCAAGGCAGATTGTGCAGGACATGTTGAACCTTTGTAGCTGAAGAAATAATCATCGACGACTTAGTAATGGGAAGGCCGCTGAATCTGATTCTGCTTCGAGCATGGGAGTCATATAAATAAGATTTATCTGTTTGAACCACAATAGCCTCTTGTGTTTGTGAAAGAGGGTGTCCAATGGAGGACTTCTTAAAAAAGGTAATTACTCTTATGTAATGCTCCATTGCAACAGTCCACTTATCAAATTCTAACTTTAATTTCATTGCATTGTGTTTCGTTAGATCAACTTTTTTTTATTTATACATGTTACAGGTGACAACTCAGGTGCACAATGGTAAAATATAGTGACTTTTTGCAGGCTATACTATAAGTTCTGTTTATTCTTGATTAGATTTAACACCTTTAATGTAAACTTGATGCAACTAAAGTACCGTTGTTCGTCTAAACAGATTTTTAGTAGCGTACTATCTGTGTTAACATTTTTCATGGGCATATTTTTGATATTTATTATTAAGATTGTGTCG